GGGGGGTGCGTCTTATGGAGCGAAAAATACGATAATGTGGAAAGTCAGTAGTTATTCTTTTTCATTTTTTCTTTTACTCTTCCAGTTGAGCTTGCCCTTGTGCTAAGGGCCTGTTCACACGACGTCCGTTTTGTGTGCTGACCGGCTCCGTGCGCTGCTGCACTCAAAATGCATCCCAATGTATCCCTATGTGTTTTATGGGCTCCAGTTCTCACATGCGCAGTCCGTTCAGCTTACGACAGAAAAAATACTGCATGTCACATTTTGTCAGGTCAGGAAACGCAAACGCATCAAAAACGCACTGCACTGCAGCTAACATACTAACAACCCCACTCCAGCAAAAAAAAAAAAAAATGTGTTTTTTTTACTTGAACGCATCTTTGGTGCCATCAGTCGGAGAGCAGAAACTTTCCTACATGCTGGCCTGGGAGAGGGACCTGGGGGACTCATTGGACCCACACGCGTGGTCCGAGATTTGGTCGGCGGCGACGAAATGCTCCCCGAATGTTTTGGCCCAGGAAAACGCACACAAGGTCTTGTTCCGGTGGTACATGACCCCGGACAGGATCTCCAAGTTTGCCCCCGTTGTTTCCGGGGCTGTACGGACAGGGGCACCTTATTTCATATATGGTGGCAGTGCCCGAAGGTGCAGAGGTTGTGGATCAGGGTCTATAATTTGCTGAGATCAGTTCTCGGTGCAACCATTGTCCGTAGTCCTTGGGAGGCCCTCCTGGGTAAGCCGGTCACTCACCTTCTGAAGAGGGAAAGGAAGTTAGCTAATTTCATCTTTTTGGCTACCAGGCAAACTATTGCTAGAGCCTGGAAGCAGCCCACGTTGCTTATTTCAGAAGTCAAGCAGCGGGTCATGGGTATTATGGTGCACGAGAAGCTTACGGCTATCCTACATGACTCGTATGCCTCCTTTCAGAAAACATGGTTGCCCTGGCTGGACTATGTACAGCCGACGGGACTGGATCGCGACTTACTGGCCCTCTGATTGGGATTTACCCGGTTAGGGTGAGCTTTGTATGTCCTTCTTTCTTGTCTTTTGTTGTTCTTTTCTTCTTCACTTGCCAAAGGGTTCTTCTAAAGTTTTGATGAAACCCATCCCAGATGTCACAGGATGATGGCGAAGATATGGTATGCTGCTTTATCACCCAATAGTGGGGTTATGCTGGCGTCCTGCAGCAGCAGCAGGTAGCTGGCAGCCCCGCTCCGGGCCTTGAGCAGGGGCTAGCCCACCCGAGGAGCCTATGCATAGGTTATCTTGGTTTTATTAGATTTCGCACGGGTTCATGAGTGGGAGGTCTTTTGTTTTCTGCAGATGTCATATTATGTCCAGATTAATGGAGTTGCATTGCACTAGCTATTATATGACTGTCATGCTGTAATCCATCAGTGCACCATTCTGATAATGTACCGTGATGTTTTTTTCCTACATTCGCCTTTTGGCATTGTTTCCTTGTGGATGGAACGTATTTCTGTTTCTGTTTTTTTCCAAAATAAAAAATACTTGTACAACAAAATGAGAGAAGTATGTATGGTCAGTACTTGTACTTTGTGTTTGAACATAACCAAGCTTGCAGCATGACTGCCTTCTTTTTTATTTTTACCGGTGCTCAACTGGAACCAGTAGTGTAGGGCCATGGCCTGGAATGAGACAGGGCAGGAAGGAGGGGTGCAAGCTTACCATTTCCATTAGCCATAAGGTTATTCCTTTTCCTCACCTTTTGTCCTGAGTTTGTTTTCCATCATTTAAAGAGGGGAAAGGGGTGATTTGTGAGGTGCTGAAAGTAAATCTGGGTCAGTGGATGTCCTTGGATACATTTCCAGCTGGAAACTGGTTGGTGTATATGAAGGTTTGCATTGTGGAAATGTTTGGTATATTATAAGCTATTTACAGGCGGGTAGTGGTGGACACTACACTTTTCATGGTCTGAATGTGATAATTAGAGAGGCTAGGACCTTATATTTTTTAGCTATTGTGCATATGGCAGACCTTTTTTTAATCATGTTTTGTTTTTGCATTTATAAATGGTAGATGAAGAAGAGAGGTCTTATACCCACTGATGCCACCTATACAGCTCTTTTTAATGCATGCTCTGAATCACCATGGAAGGAGTCTGGTCTACAATACGCTGTCAAACTGCGCAAAGAACTAATGGATAAAAATATTCAGCTTAATCCAATCACATATCGGAGTTTACTGAAAGCCTACTCATTGTGCTCTGGATTGCAAAGTAGCTTGGACATTTTTCAGGTAAGTCTGTGACCTTGCTTGTAATTCAGTAAATAATGTACCGTATTTTGCGCTCCATAAGGCGCACCGGTACATAGGACGCAGGCAGTTTCTGTGACAGAAGCTGCAGTTAGTGATAGCTGAGACGTGTGGCGCTGGGTGGGGGGGGGGGGGTGCGTCTTATGGAGCGAAAAATACGATAATTTGGAAAGTCAGTAGTTATTCTTTTTCATTTTTTCTTTTACTCTTCCAGTTGAGCTTGCCCTTGTGCTAAGGGCCTGTTCACACGACGTCCGTTTTGTGTGCTGACCGGCTCCGTGCGCTGCTGCACTCAAAATGCATCCCAATGTATCCCTATGTGTTTTATGGGCTCCAGTTCTCACATGCGCAGTCCGTTCAGCTTACGACAGAAAAAATACTGCATGTCACATTTTGTCAGGTCAGGAAACGTTGGGGGGGGGGGGGGGGGTGCGTCTTATGGAGCGAAAAATACGATAATTTGGAAAGTCAGTAGTTATTCTTTTTCATTTTTTCTTTTACTCTTCCAGTTGAGCTTGCCCTTGTGCTAAGGGCCTGTTCACACGACGTCCGTTTTGTGTGCTGACCGGCTCCGTGCGCTGCTGCACTCAAAATGCATCCCAATGTATCCCTATGTGTTTTATGGGCTCCAGTTCTCACATGCGCAGTCCGTTCAGCTTACGACAGAAAAAATACTGCATGTCACATTTTGTCAGGTCAGGAAACGCAAACGCATCAAAAACGCACTGCACTGCAGCTAACATACTAACAACCCCACTCCAGCAAAAAAAAAAAAAAATGTGTTTTTTTTACTTGAACGCATCAAAAACGTGGCAAAAACGCACTGCATCAGTCTGCAGATCCGCACCTGATCAGGACCTGATATCATGTGAACAGGCCCTTAGTGTTAATTGAAATTTAATTGTAGGACATCATCAACTGTTAAATGGCAAATGATAATTTAAACAGTTAATAAAAGCTGCACTTCGGGGACCCCCCACCCTCTCTAATGAATTGCTGGCATAGAAACAAAAATCAAAATCACCTAATCTACGAGCACATGATGTTCCATCATGTATCTTTTTCTTTGTACAAGAGGTAGTGTCCTTGTCACTGTTTGCATGGCGTGGACTCCTCCTGTTGGATGTCTAGCGACGGGGTCCTTTCCGGGGGTGGGGGCTAGCCAGGCACATTGTCATCAAATGTACATTTTTATGCACTGTGCTGTCACCACTTTGAAATCCATTCTGGATAATGAATTATTTTCCTGGGATTAGTTGGCTTGGCATTGTCTGCATAGGTTTGTGGTGGCCATACTGATACTCCCTGGCTATCATCAGCCCAGCCAGGCGATAATAAACTCATGTCTCTAGATACCTAAAACCTACAAGCTAATATCTTATTTTGTGTTCTCTAGGAAATTGTACAGAAATGTAAACTTACCAGTCCTGAAGCTTTTAATATCCTCTTTATGGCCTGTTTAAAGGATAAACAGCTGGGGTTCCGTTTTTCTTTACAGGTACAGTAACTAAAGCTATTTTTCTCTAATGGTGGAGTAATTCTGAAATACAATAATTGATGTTTATTGCGTTGTTTATTGTAAAATAATTATACTATATTACATATTGTAAATATGTAACATCCCAAACTACAGTAATCTGGCACCTACTGAGCCCCATGGTTAACTGTAGTTTCTGGTTGCTTGAGAGGTAGTAGTAACTCTCAAGCAACCCCCTGCCACGATGCCCCATCCCACACTGAGCAGAGGAGTGGACTCTCTCAGGTCCGCTCCTCTGCTAAGTGGCTGGTACAATAGCCAACCTGCTATTGGTTATTGCAATTTGAACTAGCCAATAGCAGGCTGGCTATTGCTCCCCATTGTTTACATTCTGCTGCCAACCACAGAATCTAGCCACCGGCAGGCAGCAAGATGTAAACAAATAATTTTGTTAGCATCTAAATAAATGTAGTTGCTAATTACATTTCTTAGTGTGCACCAAGCAACAGACATTTTTTTGCCGGTTGCTTGAATGCCGGATAATGGGGAGTTTACTGTATATCACTGTAGTTAAAATGGTAATTTACAATATAATCGCATCCTAAAATAGTTTTCTTCCACTGTTTATTTCTTCTTTAGGGCTCTGTGAAGTGAATGAGAATTGCCATGGTCTCCCTAAGTAGTCATTGGTTTTCTAATCAAACATATATTTTATTTGCTATAAGATCAGCAGTTAAAGTGACATTAAACCCTCAGATGTTTTAACATAAAACAATAGTGTAATGTGTGCCTTACTGTAATCCATGGTTGTTTCCCTTCTATTTGCTGCATTCAACGGACGGACGGCACTGCTGCATTGACGGCATTTTTTTTCTGCTCGCGTGCGCCCCCTAGCGGGCACGCACGGGCAGAAAAGACCCGTCCAATGCGAACACCCGGTACCGGGTGTTTCACATATAGGCGATCAGCGGGTCCATAGCCCGCCGATCGCCTATATGTGCTCGTTTGCGTCCGCAGCCCTCCTTACATCACTTCCGCATTCACCTGTCAGTCATCTGGCTGCTATAGCCAGAGAGAAGAAGCTGATGAAGCAGATCTCTGCTTCATCAGCTTCTTTTGGGGTCCACAGGTGACTTTAGGGGTCCTAGAGACCCCTAATGTCTCCATAAAGAGGACCTGTCAGTGTGCCTTTGCTATTATATAGGGGGATTGTTATCCCCCTATATAATAGCAATAACAATAAGTGCAAAAAAATTAATATAAATAAAAATAAATAAAAGTCACATATAAAAAAGTAAAATAAAATAAAAGTCACATAAAAAAAGGGGAAAAACCCCCCCAAAAGTCGAGATCACGGTCAGATCACAGTTTGATTTGGTTCGCGACCAGAATTAAGTTCGTGAACCGAGGTACCACTGTAATTCCCTGCAATGGCGTTGCAATGGATGATGTAATGCCAGAAAGCGGGTAGGAATTTTACATGGTGCAGGACTGCAAGACATGGGTGTGTTTGTAATAAGATAGACATTTGTTTTATGAAATGTATACCCACATTTGCAGACAAATTGGGATAACACCTGCTTTATTTTGGTTATATGCTCCCTTTCACATAACTTAAAAATTACAAATTGCTGTTTCCATTTTAAACACTTTTCACTTGCCTAAAAATCCTACCTAGCTTTCCTCTATATAATGTTCAAGAGGAGGATGTTGATGTGATGTTTACCATAATTAACCCCGTATGTACTGTGCTGGCAGATCTCACTATCAGTTGTAAACTAGATTTCAACAATGTCCTAACAATGGGTTAAAGATCTCCAGGCCTGGATTCTGTATTGTATGTTGATGAAGGGAAACTGACTCCCCATCGTGTCCCTCTGAAATTGCCCAGAATAGCCTGCAGCCCAGTGTATAATCCTACTCCAAAGAAATAACTAGAATACTAAGATATTATTTTTACGTATGCTGTGTTATTGGGAAGATACAAACTTAATGTGGGTATCTCAAATTAGACTGCAAAAGTGGAGAGACACTGATGTATAGCAGTTATATTATATGAATGATATCAGAAGAATATATTGGATATTACTGTACTACTTATGAGCACATGAAGTCACTGTACACTTATCTGTCACTTTGGCCGTGGCTGATAATTGTGCCAAATATTAGTCATTTCTCTCCACACATGACTTAAGCTGGCCATACACTGCTCTATTTTTTTCATTCAACCCACGGGCTGAAGAAAAAACATAGAGCAGGTTCCTCCATCAATTCCACGGGCGCGTTGATCAAAGAATCCCCTGTTTCTTTTGTATTCTCTCATTGGCTGCCAGCTCTGTTCGTACAAAGATTTTCCGACTGGCTCCTTCGATCAGCTGATTGCTCAAGAACTGTCTGAAATTTGCAGAGTGTATGGCCACCTTTTACTGTTTCATTGCACCTAAAAGGCACACACTGCAGCTACATTGAAGTCACCCCGCTGAAGAACCCATACTGATCTCCCCATTATTATATGGTGCAGCAGTTTCATCTCTTTTGTGCAGCTGATCTGTCTCCACACAAATATACACCTGGAGCTGTTTTAAATGGCAGCTTTGTCCAGTCAACTAGCAATAGTACTTGAATGTAATCCTCTGCACAAAAGCCTTTAGTCTAGGAGATAAATAACCAGCGCTCGCCCAGTCAGAACAATATTGTGACCTCGTGAGTTTTCTTCTTCTCCTGCTTTGTCCAGTCAAAGGCTGGGACAGGTCCTGGACCAGGTTGTATTGCGTGACTGAAGTGTGATCTTCAGAGCGGTCCAGGACCTGACTGTGTTTTCAGTAGTCTCTGGGTGAACAGAGTTGCAAATCCTGTGTCAGTTATAAATATTCACATGTACACTTGTACCTCGGTTCACAAACGCTTCTGTTCACGAACAATTCCGTTCGCGAACAGGAAGTTCGGCAAAATGTTGCTTCCGTTCAGGAACTCCGCTTCGGGTGACGAACATAACTGCAGCCATTTTCCCTGCTCTGACACATGGTTGTGGCTTCCTCTAGTCGAGATTGCGGTCTTATCACAATTTGATTCGGTTCACGACCAGAATCGCGGAACTAATTAAGTTTGTGAACCAAGGTACCACTGTACATGCGTGATTCGCTATCTCTAAAAGAGGTTTTCTGGATATCATTGCAAGTATTGCCACTCCTCACAGTTTGAGAATGACTGTTACATTGTATATATTATGTACTTAAAGGAGAACTATGGGGTCAGTGTTTTTCCCCATAGTTCTCCTTGGGGTAACGGGAGGACACAAACTAGCGTCCTCCCGTTACCCTAAGCTCAGTATACAGCGAGCTACAGCTGGCGGTATACTGAGACGCCACAGCCGGAGCGGATCCCGATGTAGATGACGGGATCCGCCCAGCTGCGTGACTGACAGCTGGCTCTGCCTATCTAGAGGCAGAGCCAGCTGTACCCGCCCCCTCCCCCGTCCGTTCCGCCAGTCAGCGCTGGCAGATCGGAGCGGGGAATCCAGCCCCCCCCCCTGTCACGGCAGAGAGCCGTGACAGGATCGAGAGGTGAGCGAACCCGGTATGTGTTCGCTCACCTCCCGATCTACTGAGCCGACCTGTGACAGTCTCATTGTCACAGGTCGGCTTAGAACTATGAGGTGAGTGAAAATAACTCACCTCATAGTTCTCCTTTAAAGACAAAATCTGGGCCATTTTTTAAAATGAATCCAAGCCGTCTCCAAGCACTTTCTCCAGCCTGTCTCCTCCGCTGCTGCAGCAATGAAATGTCCCTCGGTACACAGTGTATAAAACATTATGACTAGGGGACCTTAGACTGGAGGAGGGGAAGAGACACTCCAGGGACAGATCTAAGGGCAAGCCAACTCGGGGGATCAGGTGAGTATAACTTTGTTATTTTCAGCCCTAGTCCTAAATGAGCAGTTCACCCTTGCAGTGAGAGGGTATCTCTAGTGAAAGGGTTAATTAACAAATGACCCTTGAAAGTTATATTGGGTAAAATGTTTTCTGCATCTCTTTTATCTATGAAGTCTTCTCTGACACAGGTATGGAGACAGATGCTGTGCTTGGGTATAAAGCCAGATATTATCACCTATAACTTGATTCTTCGTGCAACCAGAGACTGTGGCATTGGAGATCCTAACGAAGTGTTAAATATACTGCAAAATTCCCAGGATCTGAATGTGTTGAGGTTAAGTGCAGGCAAAGCTCAAGAAGACAAGGAAACCAGAAGAAGCAAAAGAAAAGAAAAAGCTAATGAAGGTGTTTTACATGAGCAGCTTCCTCTGCACTATGATTCCATGAATCATCAGAGTTCTACAACAGACTTGTCATCTCCAGGGGGTCAGAAGGACATGGAAAACACATCTCAGGTTGTGAATATACCCTCCTATGCTGCCGCTAATGTGCCCAATCTTCTAGATCTACACCTCAATACTGATTCAGTGCTATCACTGACAAATGTCACTACCCCCTATGATAGATTTGCCTTGATTGGTGACCTGGAGGGAATTCTTCAGAAGATGAAAAAAGACAAGGTCTACCCATCAATAAAAACATTCACACTTATAGCTGAAGTAATGAAACCGGACCCAAAGTCAGACGCCGAAACACTTCTTACCCTTATGGACTCGTTCAAGATAAAACCTGATTTAACGTTTTTTAACACGTTAATATTAAAGAGAAGTGAAACTATGGACTTAAAATCAGCAATGGTAAGTCAAAATAGTTTTGTCTTTATTTATTGTCTAAGGCAGGCAGGGGTAGGAAACCTTGGCACTCCAGATGTGGTGAAACTACAAATCCTATCATGCCTGTGTGTATCAGTCTTGCAATGCCTTATGGGGCTTGTAGTTCCACAACAGCTGGAGTGCCGAGGTTGCTTACCCCTGTTCTAGGGCATGTTTAGAAGTAAACATTGATTTTATGAAAGTGACACTAAACTTAGGAGTGTGTGTGTTGTAAAGTAGTCACCACTCCAAGCTCACTCCCGTGATGGACTACAATCTCATGTTTAGTTTACTGATTTATATTGAGTTTGTAGTAAGCTGTAAGCTACTTTAATGTTAGCAGTTAAGATACCCGAATGCATTTTTAAGGTTTAACTCCTAAAGGTTAGTGTCACTTTATTCTGATTTGGAATAATACTAATTTCACACCAAGTATTCACCCTTGGCTATAATTTCCAGATTCAGGGTCAGTTCAGCTCTAAGGGACAAGGGAGGAGATCAGGGACACGATCTGCATCAGCACACATGTCTTTACATTGCTGATGTCTTCTGTGTGCACCATTATGTGTACTGTCATACATGCATGTTTGCATGTGTGCTTCATATATGATTCGATATAGTATTGCACAGCAATATACGCAAACATTTTCCCATGCAAACTTGGCTGTGGGCTTACACTTTTGCTATAACAGAAAAGGGAGTATTATAAATGCAGCTAGACAAGTTGTCAAGAGCCCTGGTGAGGTGAACCATACACTTTAAGATTTTAGCCCACAGTCTGAATGAGAAAAATCACCCCATCCACGCTAAACATTGTGGATGCAGGAATCTTCTCTGACAGCCATCACCCATAACTGTCAGAATAACTGAGCAGTGACTGAATTTGATTGATGGCAGTCACTGTTCAGCAGACAATTTTCCACCCGCCTCCTTGGATTTTCAGATTGAAGTTTGTTGAGCTGGGTGGTGTTGGCTGGCCCACCCACAAATCCATACATTTACATTTTGCTTACCAAGAAGACATGACATATATCCATGCTGCGTAGCCCACTCTGTCAATTATAACAATGCTAAATAAAACCTGACCTGAGATTATTTTCTGTTTCCTATATAGTCCTTGATTTGGGACATAAACCCCACCCTCCCACTTCACTAAATGCCTTAGTGGCCCCTTTTCCATTGAACATAAAATAGGACGCTCCCATGCGAGGAAGACCAGGTCTCCGTAAAGACACAATAGTAATAGCAGATGGGACATGGAGGAGCTTTTTCTTGGTGACAGAGGTAATAGCAGGCACCTACCAGTGCTCACACTTAGCTATTTTACAGATAGCATGCATTGTTGTCTGAGATGTGATCTTATATTTCATTAAATGAGCCCAAATGACCATGTACTTGTATACTGGGCCTTAGTTTAGTCAGAGTGAATGAAAGTGCTTTGCTTTAATCTGTATTTAAAGCCAGTTTTGTTTTTAATTGTAGATAGAGTAGGGAAAGGTTAGAGCCTGTGTGTCCCTGCTGGAAAGATTTGCCCTCTCCGTTTGTCCTGAATCCCCTTGTCATTGGGACTGACAGTAAAGGAAGTAAGTAAACTAATGGAACAGGAATAGTAACCTTTCAGTGGGAATACTTGTTCTGATGACACCTTACTAAGAAAGATCTCCTCTCACTTCCTGTTGTTCCTTGAGACAGCACAAAAAAACCCACCTGACTGGGGTCTTCCAGCCACACCCTATCCACTATATACCCACTATTCAGCAAAACAGTCAATGAATTGTGTATATTTCACCTAATTCTATCTCTACAGGAATTGTTGCCAGTTTTAGCACAAAGAGGAATTGCACCAAACATCCACACGTTCTGCAATCTGGCAAAGGCCTGTCATAAGAAAGTAGATGGGCTACAGCTGCTTGAAGACATGGCGGTATTAATACATTTCTATTCTTCCAGCTTTTCAGTGTTTGTTTTATTGATATTTGAACCATTGAGAAACTAAATATATATAATATGGAGGAATAAACATTATAAGCTGTGTCAGGTGGAAACACTCCTTAAAGGAGAACTATGAGGCGAGTAATAATTACTCAGCGTGTACAGCTGGCTCTGCCTCTAGATAGGCAGAGCCAGCTGTCACTCACGCAGCTGGGTGCATGCAGACAGTAATGTCGGGATCCGTCCCGGCTGCGGCGTCTCTGTATACCGCGTGCTGTAGCTTGCGGTATACTGAGCTTAGGGTAACGGGAGGACGCTAGTTTGTGTCCTCCCGTCACCCTTAGGAGAACTATGGGGAAAAGCCCTGACCCCATAATTCTCCTTTATGTGTATCATGAAACTGGTGAGGTTAGAATCAGACTTTATCTGCAAAAAAATAAATCAAGGCAACTGGACTTTATTTACTGTATTTTTCTTGAAGACGTATCACTGGTCATCTGACAAGCTTTTTCAATTCAGAATGACTTGGTCATTTTAGTAAATATTCTGGTTATGCTTCAATCGCCATAATCTTTTTATCATAACCAGTATGGGGTCAGGGACCTCATGGAGGTAAGGTGTTGATTGTTTTTGCATGATTGGAGCTAGGATATGTTATTAACCCGTCCAGAGAGAGGTGTTAAAACAGCATTGTATGCTGTCTTCAAGAAATATACAGCAAGTTGCCTTGATTTATTTTTTACAGATATACCATGACCTGGATGAATGAGAACCTTCACATTGGATTGAAGGGGAAATCCTCCGCACATCTTGCAGCAATCAAGGCCTATGTAGACAATGGTGCTTGTAGTGATAAACACGGATGGCACCGTGCAGACACAATGTAGGAAGAGGAATCACCAGCACTCAGTAGAATAATCCAACATGTCCATTTATTGGACATAGACGTCACAGAATCGCAAGTGCCAACGTTTCGAGACCACGCAGGGTCTCTTCATCAGGGCATAAAGAGTGGTCTCGAAACGTTGGCTCTTGTGATTCTGTGACGTCTATGTCCAATAAATGGACATGTTGGATTATTCTACTGAGTGCTGGTGATTCCTCTTCCTACATTGAGAACATTCACAGACATTTTAGAATTAGACTTTGCAAATCAATTGTTTGAGGTAACACTGTGAACTAGGGATACACCGATGCCGGTTTTTCGGTTTCGAGTACGAGTACCAATATTTTTTTTTTCCGGTACTTGCCAATACCGATACCGGAAGTCCCATTAAGGAAGCCAGGCGGCGTGTAATGACTCGCCACCTGGCTTCCTGATTACCCGGGAAGCTGGGTGGCGTGTGAAGACTTGTCACCTGGCTTCCCGATTAGCATAGAGCTGTCTTTCTGGCCAATCAGGAAGCCGGGCGCCATATAATGACGCGTTGCCCGGTTTCCAGATTGGCCGAGAAGCTGGCCAATCAGGAAGCCGGGCAACGCGTCATTACACGGCGCCCGGCTTCCTGATTGGCCCAGGAAGCCGGCTCCATGCTCCCTCTTCATCAGGTGACGAGGGAGCATGGAGTCGGCGTTCTGGCCAAACGGAAAGCCAGGGAGTGTGTCCAGGCGGATTATACATGGATATAGTATATACAGTAGGTACTGTGATCTCGGCAAAATCTGAAAAAAGTGGAGAACGCCAGAAGAAAATGGGGGAAGAAAGTGATAAAACATAGGGAAGCAAAGAAAAGAATACGTAGAAAATATATTCTAGTATGTGTTCTGTGTGTAAACTTGTTCTTGAAATGAACCAGAGCCTTGTTTTCCAGACTGCTGGTTTCCAACCCAATACCCATGTATACAGCACCTTGATCAATGTCGCCATAAAGAGATTAGATTACATCTACCTAACTGATATCTTGCGGGACATGAGGAGGAGGAATGTGGCCCCTAATGAAGTTGTGATACGCCAGCTGGAATTTGCAGCCCAGTATCCACCCAAGCTTGACAAAGTATGTTGACAATTTGATGAGGAAACATTTTTATACTATTATTATACTATTATTATTAACAGAAATCAGTATGTAAGGCCCCTCCCACACTTGCTATGTGTGTGTAAACTAACGCCGCAGAGTTTTTGCATGTGGGAAACACATCGGCTTAGGGCAGCCCATTTTTTTAAAAGCCGCCAGAGGAGCTCTATCTGCTGTTTGAGCGGAGATCTTTGGGTGTTTTCTGACTGCCCAGTTTTGCACAGTTGTCCCATGTTTATGCATCACTCGGCTGTAGATCCTCAAATCATCTCTGAATTGGTGCTGACACTGTCCTTCCTTCTGGAGGGTGGATCCTTTTTTCCCCATGGTCCCTGTGCCACCGCTCCAAGCTCGCTCTGGTGATAGACTACAATCTCAATACAAATCAGTAAACTAAACGTGAGATTGTAGTCCATCATAGGCGTGAGCTTGGAGCTGTGGCTACTTCACAACACACACAGGGACCATGGGGAACAAAAGTAGGCACCCTCCAGAAGGAAGGAAGGACAGTGTCAGCATCAATTCTGAGATGATTTGAGGATGTACAGCCAAGTGATGCACAAATGGGATAAATTATTTTCATCAGTTAACTAATTTTTAAGATTTAACCCCCGAGGTTAGTGTCACTTTAAGAAAGCCTTAAGGATTGTTAAAGTGTATATTTACTTTTTGCAGCCAAATTGTGATCAAATCTACTTTATATTTGTTACAAGTTCATATTGTATAACTATATATTTACAATTTGCTGCTTACATTTTACTAGATCTTTTCTGAAAACTACAAAGCCAAAGTTTTTCCCTGCTATGTATTGTTAAAGAGGGAGCTGGGGAGTTAAGGTTTACCCTAATTAACTGTTAATTGTACTGTGCTGGCAGACACCATGAAAATGCACACAGAGAGCTCTAAATACTGTCCAAGTCTTACAAAATTGACCTCAACACTATGTGAGTTGTTAGCTGTTTACACCAGTTTAATTTTCTTTTTCTGTAGTACCAGAAAAAGAATGTGTTCTTAGAGAAGGTTGATGGCTTCCGTGGTTACTACAACCGTTGGCTGGATTGGATGGATGCAGAAGAAACTGAACACCCTTGGAAGAAGTATCGGACTAAACCAGAAAATGACAAACATCACTGAAAATACCCAACTACTAACAAGACACGGATGGCATTTAAAGAGATATTAAAGTCAAAAGGTTTTCAAGCTATTTCAAATGCTGATGAAATCACTTCCAATGGATGCTGCTCCTCAATGTCTAAAGTTTTAGTTTCCTGCACAATCAGCTGGTCCCCTGATAGGTGGTCCTCATATCCTGTTTTAGGATTTACCTTGCAGGATCCAGCGGAGCCACCATTGTGTGTGCTAGTAAGCTTGTGTGTCTCCACAGGCACAGCAAGGCATCCACAGGTGCTCCAGGCTAGTAGATGGACAGCTGCTGGAAACTGTGCTCTCCTTGTGATCTTGGACAGGAAGTCCAGGGAAGCAGAGCTGAGAGAGTTGGCGCAAGCTGTTTGGAAACATGATGACTGTAAGTGATTGGGTAAGACTAAAAACAAATACTTTGCTGGGCAATGTATATTTGTTTGATCTGGATCCATTATTGAAAACATGTTTTGACAGTTTAATACTGCATTAAAAAAGTATTACAAATCCGGTGGCTTGATTGAGATTTTTGTAAATGTATTAACGGTTCACAAAACCTTCTTTTCTTTTCATGCGTATTGTGTTATTTTTGTGTGCTTTTATTATATTTATTTACTATCATTCCCAATCAAATCATACCATATGCGTACACACTAAGGCAACATCAGACAAACCTTAATATACTGTGTCTGTGAAGGTCATAGTAAACCTAGTAGTAATTCATTACATTCAGCTGAATTTTCACTACCACGTTGAAGACATTTTGCTACTTATCCAAGCAGCTTCTTTGGTTCTAATAAGTGTCAGGAACATACCCAACATTTATAGCCACACGGGTTATTCAGTCACCTTAAAGTGTATGTAACAATGAACGTTTCTTATTTGTTCCCTTTTGGTCTGTGAAATATACCACTGGAAGCATTTTGCTCTAGCTGGTAAAATAAGTTAAAACAACCCTGTTGACCTGTTCAGAAATTCCGAGCTGTCCTATGTCCTCACCATACTTCCTGTGTTATCTCAAAGAAGCCTCCTAGGTACTATCTTGAACTACAGAATGATTAACCTTTCTGTTGTAGAGATCTAAAAGTAGTAGTGGTTGAGTTGTTTAGCAAAAGACATTGGGAAGGGGCTGACACCCTATATTTGGTCCTTAAAAGGATAATACATGTCCACATCCGGGACATGTGTTAACCTTTGAGCTACATGGCTGCATCTTGTCAAAACTCCAGGGTAGAGATGTTTAGAGCTGCAGCTAACGATTATTTTCAAAATCGATTAGTTAGCCGATTATTGAGTTCGGTTAATCGGATAAACTATTCGTGTGGAGCGTGGATGCGAGCGGGTCTGGCAGCGGCGAGCGTGAGGTGGGGAGGAGGTGCGGCGCACAGCGTGTGGAGCTGTGAACAGGGCCAACTGATCAGAAGCCGATTAATCGATTATTGAAAAAGTTGACAACTTTATCAATAATCGATTATGTCGATTAGTTGTTGCAGCCCTAGAGATGTTAAAATGGCTTATATAGGAGGTGCACCGAAATGAAAATTTTTAAACCAAAACGAAACCGAAATAATAAACATTTTCAGACCTATACCAAAAAATGTTCACATTTTTACAATATTTTATTTGTATTTTTTATAAACTTTTTAATTTTTTAATATTTATTTTTATTAATTTTTTTTATTAAATATTTTTATTTTTTACATTACTTTTAGGGGCTTTGGGGAAATATTGGGGTCTAAACAGACCCCTGATGTTTCCCTTTTTAAAATAGAAAAAGAGATTTAGGACACAAAGTCCTCAATCTCTTTTTCTGTGACCGCTGTTATAAATGACCAGGGATCCTCTGAGTCTTCCTGTTCATTGATAACATGAGGACATGGCATGTTTACTATAACTACAATTATGAATGAACAGGAGGTGATGCAGATCACTCCCATTCATTCATAATTGAGGATATAGTTAACATACCATATCCTCAATTATGTACAAACACTCACTGATCGCTGAGCGTTTGCTCTTGCTCTCCTCTCTGACACGCTGTCACAGGAGGCTGATCGAGCGGTGTAGGGAGGAGAGCTCAGCCTCCTGTGACAGCGCAGCCTGTCTCCGCCCACACACCGCTCTGCCGGCCTGTGATAGGAGGCTGAGCGGTGTGGGAGGAGACGCCGACTGCTCACAGCGCTCCCCTCCTGCAGCGCTCGGCAGCCTGTCGCACTTTCTCTCCTTCCTGCTGGGACACAGAGCAGCGCCCAGCGGGGAGGAAAGAAACCAGGGTTGAGCCGATGTATCGGCAGGAAAATGACACTTTCTGCATTTTGCCTAAAGTGCCATTTTCGGCCGATATATTGGTGCATCCCTAGCATTATATGTGGGTGACAGATGAGGGTAAAAGCCCACATTCCTATTAGAGCTGCAACAGTTAATCGATTTAGTCGATTAAAATCGACGATTGAAAACGTTGGCAACGTTTTCGATCGTCGATTCGTCGGCTATCGATTGATTTGCCTGTTCGGGGCTCCACACGCGGCCTTAGTCACAAGCTGCGGCCGCCGTGCCCACCGCACAGGCCACATAAGCCACGCCCACCGCACAGGATGCTAAAGCCGCGCACGCCGGCGCCACTGCTCAACGCGATCTCCCTCACTCGTCGCTGGCCCACCGACAATCGAGGAAAAGCAATCTTCTGAAAGCAAGTCAGTGGCGGAATAGGTGTACGGAGCTGCAGTGTGGAACAGGTGTGCGGGGATATAGTGATGGAAAATGTCCTAAATATGCACCTCACTGTCCTCAAAAGAATGTCCTTTTTCCAGACATTGTCACCTTGCCCACCTTGTCTCTCCAACTGAACAGCAGGCTCTACAAAAGAATTCTACGTTAGAATAAAAAGATGGTGATACTAAATTTGTAGGCCCCGCAATAATTGCGCAAATGTTTCTCAAATTAATATTAAACCGATAAAAATACACAATTAAATTGATAAAACACACCAAAATCAGTATCCGTGCACAAAAATAAATATTTTCTGACTAAATCGAAAAGATAAAACTGTATTGAGTTAATAAATAACAAATATTTGCACATTTGAAATTGCACCTTTTTGCAAAAAGGTAAAAAAATGAAGGTATGCAAAACTGTAATTAAGCGATTTATGTTAAAAATTGTTTTTACGCTGTGTTTGTGATTGTGTTGTGATAAAATGATACAGGTGTATATTTAATTGCAACACAAGGTATCACAACGCATGGCAATGAGTCACAAAGCTTTGCCATGCACTGTCACAGTTAATTTAATGTTTTTAAAAAAAATAAAAATAAAACAATCATGCACTGCAGAGCATGTGCATGGCATACACCAGAATATGTGTATGTTACATCCAAGGTAATCGGTAACAACTGATTTATCGAGTTAATCCATTTAAAAAGGGTTATCCTATAAGGAAATAGCCAGATCTGTTGTACATACATCACCGAATATATCCCATATGCATGTTAAATACCTTATGGGGTATTTCCGCTTCTTAGATATCCCGAGTCAACTTGACTCTCTCCAAATTCACAGGTCCCCCTCCTCCAGAGTCATCCACCGCAGCCACACACGCCGTCCATAGCGTTGGCGTGTAGTGTCTGCGGTCAGGGCGAGCACTCGATCTGCACATGCGCCTTATAAAGCGCATCCGAAGTGTAGGCTTGGCCCAACCTGAGGTGGGCCACTCCCCCGGGGCCGTCGGCAGAGCGGACGGCGCAGATATGTCAGCCGCGCCGTCCCATCTTGTGCTCTGACAGGGACAGAGCCCTCCCCCTGTCATCGCAACGACCGATAAAACAGTCCCGGGACATTGGCAGAGCGCAAACCTCCAAGATCGAATGTCGATCAAGTATGAGGAAGCGCTGGGGTGCAGATCGTCCCCAAATGATGTGTTCAGGGGAACGGCCCGCAAGATTATTCCTGTATGAAATGAACGGAGCTCCCCAGAGTGCGAACCGTATCAGTTTAGCAGTACATCCTATTTTAATCATATTCAAAACATAACATATATAATATGGTTGTTCAACCTACAATATATAATATTATTAATGTATAGGCTTCATATAATAAGGTCCTACATTCAAGATGATTAAGCATCCGATTTGAACATATTACAAGAAAGTGCTTGTGCTTCTTAAGTCTAATTGAGTGCTACTCCACAGTTGATTGTTGTGTGAACAATATGAAAAAATGTTGCCATGCAAATTCGGTGAAGTGAAAAAGGTGTGTGTATAAATAATGAGCTTATCTAGCCCCTCCCATCCCCACCTGCTGATTACAACCCAACCCCCCTCCCCCCCACACCCACATCGAAGGGCCAACATAACCCATACCCCCCTCCACCCAACACCTACACCGAAGGACCAACATAGCCCAATCCCACTACACTAAACAAATACCATCCACCGCAGTACACCCTAAAAACCTAATGCCCATAGCAGCGGACTCTAAGGACCATCAATGCCCAAAGTAACCACAGTGCCAGTGATTGTTGTGTCTATGTAAATTAATAGTGTTTACATTATTGTGTAAGCTAGATGTCTAGAATTTTAAATCTGTGGTGAAATAGATATTGGTAATAATATAATACCCATATAGAAAAATAAAAGTGACCCCACTTATATGCTAATGTTGGACCTGACTAGATTGTACTTGATTGTCCATACTCTGTATGATATTTCTAAGAACTAAATATGTTAAACCTCCATATATGACAATGCTGTAACATTCTTATCTAAGCATTGCTGGTTCAGTGATGATCCCTAGAGAAAAATGGGTGTCTTCCACCCTAATAATGCAAGTAAAAACATGTTGGGATCAGCACCAAAAGGAGACACCAACCCCTGAATAATTAACAACCAAAGAGAATGGGGCTTTTTAGGTGACTTCTAGACAATGCAGAGAGATGCAGCTATATATAATGACACGTAGCTCATTTCACTTGCATGCAAAGTCCAAAAACTAACAGGATGACAGCGGCTCCGATCA